ATGGATGGATGGATGAATATTTTCCAATCTCTCGAGTGCACTGTGTTCACATTAAAGGTAAAAACTTGTTTAAAAACCCCTTAAATACACTGAAACAATCTCCTGTCACTGGACACCAGTTGTGCGTCAGTGTGGAGGTTGTGTTGTTACCTTTGGCTCGGTGGTCCTCCTCTTTGGGACACTGTCCTCCTTCCCACCATCGTCTCTTCAGGATCTCCAGCCGGTTGCTCTCCTGCATCTGTAGGACTCCCAGAGTGATCTCGTCTCTGAACGGAGAACCTGACAAGGAGGAAGAAGAAGCCCAATCAGTCACCGAGTCATTTCTTTAAAACCTGCGCTTGGTTTGAATCATCTGGTTCCAACGGCTGAGCTTTTTTATAAACTGTTCAAACTGGTTTTAATGTAACAGTAGTAATAGTCTGAGAGACAAAAAACTGTCTCTAATGTGTGAGTGTTTGGCCCGACAGCAGACGGTTTTGGCAGCAGGTTTTATTTTTGAATTTGCACCAAAATCACAGCGCGACTTGTGATTTACAAACAAACCACATTAAAGTCCACTGCTGTCAACACGAGGGCTGCGTTGATAACTCTCAACCTGTTTGCGTGGTTTCATCAAACTGTTTCTTGAATTGTTCACATTTCAACAACCAGCTGGAAAATGCGTCTGTTTGCTTTCAGGTGGCAGCTCGTGTAGGCGCAAAACGGATAGATTTAAAATATAAAAGAGTGATTAATCCATCTTCCAGTTCAGCAGAAGCATTTTCTCGTGAACCAACTGAATCCCAAAACCTGCCAGTGGGTTTGAAAGGCGTGTTCGATTAAAAAAAATGAAACCATTTATCAGCCAGAAATCGCAAAAACACCCCAAAAATGTCCGATTTTTGACTTTCTGATGGTGCTAACAAGATACACAGTTCAGTCAGGAATATTATTAAATCTAGATTTCATCACTTTATTGTACTCATTTAAATTTGCGCATTTTTGTTTGTACAAGATTCTGCAAAAAAAATAAAAAAATAAAAATAAAAAGCTGTCACATGACCAACAGTCATATGACAACGATGTCGTTTTTCAGGTGAACTGCAGGCAGTGTTTCCACAGAGCAGAGAGGAAAATAAAATATACTGGATCAATAAAACCCAAAATGCAGCGTGGCTCAGAAATAGTGAACAGAGGAGCCGGTTGTTGGACGATACATTCAGCACGAGGAAACATCGACGTGCAAAGTAGCAGTCAGATATCATGTATGTAGACAGTTTTTGTGCATGTTCCAGGATTTTCAGGAGTTCTGCCAGTAATCAAGGAGCAAGGCGCTGGAAGATACATGCGACACGGTGAAACATCCATCCAGAGTTAACATGCAGCGTTAGAGGTTGTAAAAATGGGGAGCCGTCTTTTTTTTTTTTTTTTTTATTCAACGAGACATAAGTTATGGCAACACATGATTTGAAGTGGTAGTTGATAATGGTATATGTTACTTGATATGTACGTATTTTTTAGTATATTTAACCTAAAATGTTTAGTTTATACAACTCAGTCCTCGTTTTTGTGAGCTAATGATTTTGAGTTAAGACCAGTGATGTAAACTTGTTTTGTCCCCAGCATGTAATTAAGGCTCTATGTTAAGACAACTTGACATGTTTAGTTTCTCCTTGTGTAAAAAGTTTTTACACAAGGAGAAATAAAGTTGTCTGTTGTCAGATCCTGTAACGTTAGCTTGGGGTGGGTTTTTGATTTGAGGAGTTGATACTGCAACCCCAGATCCTCTTTTGGTTTGAATTGTTATGCCCCAGATAATGTAGCTTAAGTGCCTATTTGAGACTCATTTCTGAATTTTATTTATTTACCTGTATTTGTATTGCAATTTTCCAATAATGCTCCTGGCCTAGTTGGTTTGCTGGGATGTGCTTGAACTTTTTCTTTTGAATTTCATTTATGAAAACACACTTTACCAATAAAAATGTGAATTTCAAATCTTCTCTTCTTAGTGTATTCAATGGATTAGTCAAGCACTACAATTTTGTTATGTCCTAGAATTTGAATTCTTTATTTGGGCACCTTTAGCAGATATGAGATTAAAATGCGATTAATTGGATTAATTAATTACAAATCCTGTAATTAATTAGATTAATTTTTTTAATCGCCTGATAGCACTAGTAAAAACTAAAATGGTTTTAGGTAATCTGTTTCCCCACAATTTTCTAGTTGTCTCAACTAGTTCGGGTTTACAAAAATGTTGTGGCTCGTTGATGCCAGGATTAAGAAACAATAAAACAATTGTGTTTCTTAAAGAATAATTTAAGGCCCCTTTGGTTGAAACCTCTTCAACCCTTATGACCACAGCAGACTCTCCAGGATTAGATTCATCGTTGACTATTTGCAGTTTCTGTTAGCATCGTGCTAAATCACGATTAAACTTACAAGCCGTGTTCTTGATATGTCTGGAAATAAAATGACTCTTAATATTAGGTTATAGTTGGTTAGCATGAAATAGAAAGTGCATTTTTAGAATCACTTCATCACACACTTCCCCAGTCTCTCTTTTGGTGTCGCTCTCGAGGCAAATTCGTAAAAATCGTAAAAATCCATAAATTAGCTGCATCACTGTTTAAACTGCAGTGTTCAAAAAATGTGAGAAAAGTAGCGGCTTATAGTCCGGAAATTACAGTAGATATGATTTTCATTAAAAAGTTGCCGGGACTCATTCATACAGGCTACAGGCACTCTTGACTAATAATTCCCATGATCCCTCTTGTACACTGCACACTGATGCACATCTATCATGGCTCTGCATCAATAGCCGACAGCTGACAGGTGAAATAATTAAGCTGCAACAAGTCTGGGTTTTAAAATGAGAAAAAACATTTTACTGGATAAATAGTTGTTATAACAAAAAAAGAAACAGCGAGTTTTTATTGAAGAACATAAACCAGTGAGCTCACCTGCTCACCTCTCCTCTCGGTTCACGGCTCTGCGGTTTATTTTATAATGACATTTTGCTTACAGGGAAGTCGCTCTGATAAATGGAGAAATGTTACGAGATCAGCCGGCAGCCGCATCTTTTATACAAATCAAACATATGCCCGCTGCTGTTTGGCGTCTCATGTTTCCACCTGAGGTCTGTGTTCGTGAGTCGTGGGCAGCGAAGGCCTCTGCGAGCGAGAACGCCGGCTTTGGGAAACTAGTTATTGTGTTGAAGCACTCGGCAGCAAACCGCCAATCCTGCCTCCTTTATGTGCAGCAGGAAAATTCAATTTGTGGGAAATTTGACGCCACTTGGATGATTTTTTTTCTTGTTTTTTTTTTTATGAACACTAAAGAGTTGTGACACCAGAACTGCAAATTTACGCTTCAGATGTTGTTTTTCCTGGAGTTTGACACACAAACATGAGTTGTTGACTTCAATAAATATTTAGCAGGCAGTCATTTAGCATGTTTGTTAGCTTGGATGCTAGCAGGACAATAAGTTGACACAGTTTCAGTGGTACTAAGCACATATAACGTCTTACTTGGGTACAGTTTTGGGGTACGTTTGGGTACTGCTGAGTATTTTATTTTTGTGTTACTTTACACTTTCACTGTGTTTTAATATCAGAAAATATTGTTTGTTCTTTTTTCTTCTTCTCTCTTTTAACTCCAAAACACTTATTTGATAATCTTAGTTACTTTGTGTATCAAGATGAATACAAAATAACTAAATTGAGATTTCTAACTGGTATTATTTTATGATTATTGTTGTGATCATTGGTGTTGTCATTATTATTATTGTTATAATTGTTATTATTATTATTATTAGTAGTAGTAGTAGTCATAGTAGTAGTAGTAGTAGTGTAACTGCATTTTTAATTATGACTAATATTGCTTTTGTTGTTTTCGGTTGTTGTCATCATTATTGTTCTTTTACTGGTTATTATTGTTATGGCTAATCATTGCTGTTATTTTTTATTGCAATGATCATTATTTGTTATGTTGCTATTGTTGTTATAATTATTCAAATTATTATTTCAATATTGTTGTTGCTCATTGTTATGATTATTATTATTTTATGATAAAATTTTATTGATCCAAGTGCAGGCAGAAATGTACAAATAACAATTTAAAAAAAAAAGTCTAAAACATCTGTTTCTCCTTTACTAATTGCAAAATTGAAGTCACAGTTATTAGATTTAAATAATATAATACAATATTAATTATTTGAAATATCCCATTCTGCATAAAACCTGTATTTGGTATTTCAGCTACATTTTAATGTTGAGACTTTTGTACTATTTGAATGCAGGACTTCAGAGAGTGCAAATGTTCGTACATTTACTTGAAATAAATCAAAAGAAGTCCTAAAATGCTCTTGCAATATAATATCCACCGGTAAAGCACAATTCTGTTTTTCTAGTTCGATTCAAACATCAGAGGAGAAGGTTAGAAATGTTGAGGGTCAAAAAAGACACAAAAAAAAAACAGAAACTGTCGGCGACCTGGTTTAGATTTCAGATCTCCAGGTGATAAACTGTGAACTGAAGCAGCCTGAGGTCCAGACCAGCTCTGTGGCAGGCTTCTCAGTCTATTTCAGTTGATATTATTCCGCTGGCCGTCATTAATATTTTGTCCTCGGTGACTGCAAACGATCCGACTGCCTTCCTCGCCGCCATTAGTCCATTCATCTTCCCTCTTTATTCCATTAATGGGTGACATTGACTTTCACAGAGTGACAGACAGCACGGAGCGCGTGGTGTGTTTCAAGGTAAAAGATAACCGACGACACCTTTTACTGGTTTGATCCTTTTATATTTCAGAGAACAGGAATGATCCATCTGTCGCCTCCTGACGTCCCCTTTTCTTTTGCTTCTTAACAAAACTGATTTATGACCTCTTTTTTTTTTGTTTTTTTTGCTGGAAATATAACTTCACTTTAAGGCCAAATATCTTGTCTGGCAAATTTCCAAAAGAGAGATGAACGTCAGGTATTTTTATTTTTATTTTAGCATTTAAGAAATGAACTTTCTTTCTTACAATTGACCTCCTTCTACTGCTGCATCAAACCCAAGACGCTTATGTTTCTCTGTTTCTTCTCCTTTTCCATAATTAAATAAATTAAAATGAAGCCTTTTAGTTCGATTTTGTAGTTAGTGTGAATTCCCATATCTATGCTAATTCATTAGCGCTAAACACTAAAGGTAAAATCTACATGTCAGGCCTTTTAATTATGATTTAAAGCTTTTATCTTCATGAGCTGCAGGTGGTGTGTTCCTGATTTCTGTTGCATTCAGTGAATGTAACAGTTGGCGTTGGGCTTTTTTTGAGTGTAAATGAATTATCTGGTGCTTTCTAGGGAAAATGATCTGACTTAATGTCACTTAGCTTGTCCTAGTGAGCAACTGTGCCTTGATTTAAACGATTCTAAATCGATACAAGGCACATGTCCGTCTTCTTTTGAATGAACTAGATTGATTCAAATAAGACTTTTTGATCTTCTTTGTGTACCATCATGCCACTCAGACTTATATCTCATTGAGTAAAACTCACTTAGTGCGCTGCAATGGCAGCCAAGTTTTCTTCTGTAAGGCTCAAGCGTCCTGATGTCTAGAAAGTTTGGCATGGATTTGACAGGACACTTTCACAGCGCTGCCTCTCTTCCTCAGTCTTCCACTGCAGCTCGAGCCTCCTTTAATCCTTCCACACCACCCACTCGTGTTGACGGGTTTTTGGAGAAACCGCTCCAGTTAGGAGTCGACGGCGGTTCACTTGGATTTTAAATTCAAAGCCGGCAACTCAGTTGTCTGGAAAAGACGTGGGATCGACTAGAAGAGACTTTGTGCCTCGAGAAAAGTAGTTTAAGTATTTTTTTTTATTTCACTGAGTGGTTTTTACACCCATCTTCGTGCGTCTGTGCAATCACAAGACTGCAACCTAATCAGGCGTTTCTCTCTTGAATGCTGACAAGTGTTCTCACATGTACGTCGCTTTGGTTAAAAGCGTCTGCTAAATGAAATTGTAGAATTGTACATCATGGCCAAAACACAAAAAAAACCAAAATGACTCTTTAGTTTTAGCCCTCTAAACTCCAAAACCTGAGAGAGGGCATGTTTCTTTTTAAAAATCATCAAAATCACACGATCTGTTCGAGCCAGAAACTGTAAAAACAGAAAATAAAATCATCCAATTTTAAACTTTCCGACGGTCCATAAATGTATCACCTGTAATGTGCAGCTGCATTAACCCAAAACAAACTAAAACTGTGGTATTTCAACAAACTCACTTTAGTCTACATGTCTGTAAAAAATCACCACAAATGGTTTACCCAGATTCTGTAAAATATGAAAAACAATCACTTCTCTGTGCAACAGATGGACTCATCTGTGTCTCGTGGCAAAAAAAATACAGGAAGTTTTCAGCTGAACTGCAGGCGGCAGCAGAGAGACGACGACAAGAGAGACTGAAACGAACTGGATCAATGAAATAAAAACGGTAAACGGAGTTGACACATTCAGCATGGTGAAACTTCTTTCTAGACTTGATGTGCAGAGTAGTGTGAAGTTTAGAAGGTGTCTCCAGTATCGGTAACTACTGTTGACACTTTGAGAAATGTCGGACAATGTGACTCAAAAACGGTAAACAGAGAAGCCGATTGTTGGAAAATACATCCAGCATGGTGAAACATCTCGCGTTGAAGTGCAAAGTATTCGCAAAAATCTAGAGTCACCACTTCTTTGCCAATATTGGTAACACCTGTGGACACTTTTTGTTTGGTTAATTCTAGTATTTTTCACACATTTTTGAGTTTTCTCTGTATTCAGTCCTGGTTGTGCTGTTTCTAAAGAGGTGCAGGACTTTATATCGTAGTGAAAAATGAGCCCACAGTGAGTAAAAATGTAACAGGAGCATTTAAAAAAAACACACCCAGAAACCGCCTGTTGTTCGGAGAGTTAAAGCAGCTGAAGTTCTCATGTTTAAGCTGTTGCTAATCGCTCACTGTCAGTCAGCTCAGTCAACATGGGAGACGACGTCCACCAGAGACACCCGCCTCGTTCTGCTGCTTTTATTTCCATCACTTAACTGACAGGCCGGTCTACCAAAAAAAACCTCCTCATCTTTTTACCGTCTCCCTGCTGCTTCCTCTCCGCGCTCCACATCTGTTCCTCCTTCCTCCATTAACTATGCTAATCTATGCACTAACACTCATCACCAGAAACAAGTCTGAGGCAGATGACGAGGCGAGGCCAGACACCGGCAAAAGCAGACCGAAGCCAAATTGGAAACAGGACGGATTTAATTTGCCAAGAACAGCAGCTGCACAAAGAATATGACCTGGTTAACGGCTGAAAACAGAGGCGACGCACAAGGTGCCGGACAAAAGGTAGCGCAGCCTCGATGTATTACAGACAATACGTGATGTGACAGCAGACGGCGCATAATTACTCTTCACAAGGACAGGTTAGTGTTCACATTGTTTCTGGTGGAGACACCTGCGATCACATTAGCCATTTTCAATTTGTATAGTGTGGCGGAAATCATCCAGGAATGCTGACATGCGAGGGCCTGATAACGAGGTGAAGTGATGACGCTTTGAGGGAACGCGCTTAGCAGCAGCTGAGCATCCTAAACGGCAGTCCAGAAGCACCTCTAAGGCCACCGACATCCACGGCCTCCTTGCGTGTGACTCCCTAAATGTTCTCGTAGTTGAATCGTAGCAACTGGACTTGCTTGAGTTCCTTGAAGACGTTCCACCTCTCATCCAAGAGGATCATCAGTTCTGACCGACTGGTTGGGAGTTCCAGATACGTCTTCAAGAAACTCAAGCAAAAAA